AGAAACTGAAGCTCTAGAATGATGCTTCTCGGGAGGAGCAGCCATCTAGAAAGTTCTGTTCAACAAATTTTGTCTAAGTAGAAATAGAACTTCCCTTGAAAAGAAAGATGGAGTATGGATTGGGTGAATAGGTGGAAAAGGAGTAGTTCTGGTAGTGGAAGGAGGGAGGGACAGCATGACCCCAAGACCATCTCCTACAGCACCCACATCTCAGAAGGTGGGACTGAACTGAATAAACTCTCTAGATTCTAAGTCGTTGCTGGTGCTAGGCTTGGGTGCTTGGACCCTGTTAGAGCCTTACGTGGACATCAGACTTACTCAGGAAGCTCTCCAAACTTCCCACTCACCTCTCTGAGGATCCAGATGCCTGCCACTTCCCCATCAGACTAGCCTGTCTGAGAACTTCATGGAGCCACCATCTGGATTGCTGATATGGCCACTGATGGTGAAGGGTGGACCCATATCCAGGTTCCTGAGAAGAGTAATAGATTCAAGCTTTTGAAGCTGAGAGCACAGCTTCTCCCTAGGACCCTGCCTCCCTAGACTAGAGCATGGGGGAGAAAACCCTCTGAAAGTGGGGAATCTCCAGGTCACAGACTCATTGATATATCTCCAAGAATAGGGATTACCCCATCTCTCATGGCAAGAGGAGGAGTAGCCCTGAACTATGGAAGAGTAGGTGAGGTGAGTTACTCCAAGAGTAACTCTAATGCTTCTCATTCCCTGAATCCCTGATTTCCTTCACCTGTTTCTCTCTCCTGACACCATATTCTTCCTGAGATTACATTATTTGTATTCTTATTCATCTCCACCATAAACAGTAAAATACTTGAAGACAGAGGTTGTGCTTAGTCATCTTGTTGTTGTTGTTAGGTGCCGTGGAGTCATTTCCGACTCATAGCAACCCCATGCACAGCAGAACGAAACACTGCCTGATCCCGCACCAGCACCATCATCTTTGCTATACTTGAGCCCATTGTCGTAGCCACCATGTCAATCCATCTCGTTGAAGGCCTTCCCCTCTTTTGTCGTCTTTGTGCCCCCTAAAACTAATTCCACAACACCTACTATACCAAAAACTAAACCAAATTCACTGTCATTAAGTTGGTTCCAACTCACAGTGACCCCCTATGGATTTCTGAGACAGTAACTCTTTATGAAAGTAGATTGCCCCATCTTCCTTCCATGGAGCAGCTGATGGGTTTGAGCCACCAACCTTCTGGTTAGCAGTCAAATGCTTTAGGCACCACACCACCAGAATGCCTTTGCTACAGTACATCTATACCAAGCAAATGATAAACGAATGAAACAGTGAACGGATGAGTGAATGAATGAGTGTTCCCTGCCTAAGCATGAATGTTAACAGGATCACTGCCATCAAGATCTTTCCTGGTCATGTTCATGTTCTAGTTTTTATTTGTAGAACTTTTCTAGATAGACTTTCTGGCCTCTTCCTTTAATCTTGTTTGTTTAGGGGCATGGGGAGGAGATAAGGCAGTAAAATGGTAAGTTCTGGCTATCTTTGATTCTTTCTCAATTATACCTAACCCTCCCCACAACCCACATCCAAATCTGCCTTGTGTCTACTCACTGGACTTGATACAAGTTGAAGACAAAATTAGGACCTAGGAAGACAATCCAAAAAGAAAATTGTTAGTACCTCCAGGGAGAGCTGCCCACCACCCTTCTGGGAATATCTGGGCTACCTCACCGCTGTCTGGGAGGAGTTGGGTGGCTGGACTGGGCTCAGGATGATGTGAAGGCTTCCAAGTTCCTTCAGTGTCTGCTTCCTGCCCCATGCCCATGGTGTACCTCACCTTCCCAGACAATCACAGCTTTCTTAGCACAGACTGCACCATTCAGAAGCCCTCCCACTAAGGGCCCTGATTATTCTGAGTCCAAGGTTGGAATCCACCACTTACCAGCCCTGTGACTTTAGCCACACACCCTCAGCTATAAAGTAGGAGTCTATGGTAATTTGTTCCTTGCATGAAAGTCCGATGGAAATCATATTAGGCAAAAGTGCACGGCACAAGTGGGTGCTCAGCAAATATTTGTGGAGTCTGTTGAAGCTCATTGCAGATCCAGGAAATGTTCTACCTCTTGGCATTGCAGGACGCCCTCCAGTTCCCCCAGGGTCTTATGAAAGGGGAAGATGGGCCCAGAGTTGGTAGTACTCAGGGAAGCTGAAGCTCAAGCCCCAGTGACAGAAGAGATACATTAGGAACCAGAGCAGGGGCCACTTGGGGCTGGGGCAGTCTATCCTGCTGTCCTTAGCCTTGGTCCCACAAAGCCCTCTGGAATGGACTCTTGTGGGCTCTGAGGAAGAGAAAGCTAGCTGTTTACTGGGGTGGGAGTAGCCTTCTTTCTTTCTAAAGGCGCTGCTACCCCACCCCCATCACCTCAAGTGCTCAGCCACTCACTGAAGTCTTCAACCACTGCAACCACCACAGGAAATATTTTTGCATCAAGCCACATCGGAGAGCTTATAGCCCCACCCAGCCCTGCTCACTGCTCTCAGAGTGGAGGAGTTGAGCAGTAATGATGGTGACAGGGCCCATTGTTTACTCACCCTCCCAGCAGTACCCACGCTGGTACCATTTAGCCAGGCTATAGCCGAAGATGGACACGAGCAGCAGTGACAGCCCCACCCCAAGGATCAGGCCCAAGGTGCTGATGGAGTCCTCACCTGCAGGGAGACACAGCATACTTTGCCCAGACCCCCTACCTCACAGTACCCTACACCGACTGACCTGCACCATGGTCCAGATTTCCTCTCCTCTCGCCTCACTGCCAATCAGAATGTCCATCCTCTAGGAGTCCTGATCTGAGCTAGCTAATTCAACTTACCCATCCTAAAATGTGAAGGTCTTATACTTGATTTTTAGTGTTAGTCTATCCAGTATTTGGACCTTGTTCATTCAAAGTAATGCAATCAACCAACCAGTTACATTTGGGTTGACTTTGACTCATGGTGACCTCATGTGGGTCAAAGTAAAACTGTGACCCATAGGATTTTCAATAGCTGATTTTTCAGAAGTTCATTGCCAGGCCTTTCTTCTTTTTAACTTTTTATTGTGATTCGAGTGCAAGTTTATAAAGCAAATTTGTTTGCCATGCAACAATTCATACACATTTTGGTGTGTGACATTGATTGTAATAACATTTTTCCCACTTCCTCCCTGTGTTACTATTTCCCTTCATCCTTTTTTTTTGCAATCCCTTTCTGCCTTCTGAGATTTATCCATGGGCAAATGTTGCCTTTTTGATCTCATATGGTTGATTGTTCTAAGTGTGTACCTCCCTGGTGTTATTACTTTATAGACCTGTTTATTGCTTGGCTGAAAGTTGAGTCATGGAGGTGAGTTCAGTTCCAAGCTTAAAGTGTTCAGATCTTTCTTCTGAAGAACCTCTGGGTAGACTTGAACCTCCAACCTTTCAGCTAGCAGCCAAGTGCATTAACCATTTGCACCACCAAAGGACTCCAATCTAAAGTAATAGTCTTCTGCTAGTAGAGATAGTTTGGGACTGGGGAGGCCGTCCTGAAGCCACCAGCATTCTGCTTGTTGGAAAGGGCAACAAAACATTCTATTTGTTGCCTGTTTGGGAAATAGCCCAGACAGTCTAGACTCAGCTGAAGCCTAGTAGCCAGTAATGGTGGCCTGGGAAGTCCCAGGAAGCAGTGGCCTGAGCATTCTGGTGCCCTCACTCCAAAGTCTCTGTGTGCCCAGTGTTAACCCTCAGGCTCTGTTTGCTACTTATGTTTACCACTCTTCCCTTTTTGTGGTATGAGCTCTTAGCTAAATTTGTATTTTATTTTTAAAGCCGAAAAAGAAAGAGAAGAAGAAACACTGCAGGAAGATAAGCTGGGCCAGAAGCAGAAGCAGAAGCAGAAAGGAAGCACCAGATTCTGAGTCAAAGGCTGAAGATGGGAGCGTTATGCAGATAACCCACCTCTGCCAGGGGTAGAACAGCCCACTCCTGCCTAGTGAGATACCGGGGGTGCAGAAGAATGAAATGACTCCCTGTCTACACAGCCTGGTGTCCTGAGTCCCAAAAAGTGTTGCCAAAAGGCAGGAGAGTGCAATGGTTAGAGCAAACCTTTGGCTTGTATCCATCACTTTCAAACTGTGGGAACTGGGCACATCCTTTTACCTCACTAAACTTCAGTATGCGCTTATGGAATGTGCAATGAATAGTAACTACACGTATAGCTGTTTTGATGATTAATGGAAATGACATATAAGGAGCACTCAGGAGAGGATCAGGCACACACTAAGTGCTCAATAGATGTTAATTATATGATCATTACTGTTGTTGTCATTATCAATATCAAGTGGTGGAATTAAATTTTTAAAGTATCTCACAATTCCCTCAGCCAAGCCTTTTGCTCACTCATGCCCCCTGACTCATCTCCCCATAAAGGTAGCCAGATAATTCTTTACTCAGGGAAGAAAATATAGCCAAAGGCAGAGGGAAAAAGGTGTCTCTTCCCAGTTGAAAAAGTCTTGATGGCCCAATGGTTAAGTGCTCAGCTGATAACTGAAAAGTTGGTGGTTCAAACTCACCAGTTGCTCAACTTGAGAAAGATAACGGCAGTGTGCTCCCCTAAAGATTACAGCCTTAGAAACCCTATAAGGCAGTTCTAGTCTGTCATAGTGGGTTGCTATGAGTTGGAATTGACTCAATGGCAACAGGTTCAGTTCAGTTCTTCCCAGTTGTAAGTTTCAAAAGCCTTTGCCCTTAGAGAAAAGGACAAGAATCGTGGCATAGAGATAAGCAAGAGCAAGAGTAAGATTTACTTTCTTCACCATATTAGGGGGAAAAATACTCCAGCCTGGGGGATGGAAGAGAGATGAGAAAAAGTACTGCTTATAAAGATGTCTGTGGGTCCCAGAGAGAGGGACTGTACTTCACGATTGAGCCCTGGGGAGTCAATAGAATTCCCAGATAGAGTTTGGGATTGCAGAGCTGGAATGAGCCCCAAGAAGAATAGGCGCATGGGCAAGAGCCCAGATAAGAATCAGTGCTTGCTGCTGAAGAAGAAAAACAAAGTAGGAGGTCTCACCCTCCCAGATCCCAAAACCTACCATACAGCCACAGTAGTCAAAATAGCGTGATATTGGTACAAAGTCAGACAAATAGACCAGTGGAATGGAATTGAGAATGCAGAAGTAGACCCATCCATCTCTGGACAGCTGGTCTTTGACAAATGTCCAAAACCCATTAAATGGGGAAGAGATAGCCTCTTTAACAAATGGTGCTGGCAAAATTGGATATCCACTTGCAAAAAAAATGAAACAAGATCCATACCTCACACTATACACAAAAACAAATTCAAGATGGATCAAAGACTTAAATGTAAAACTCAAAGGCATAAAGTTCATCAGGATAAAATAGGGGCAAACTTGTTGTTGTTATTGTTAGGTGCCATCAAGTCAGCTCTGACTCATACTGACCTTATGTACAACAGAATGAAACATGTCTGGTAGAGGCACCAATTTATGGCATAAATAGACTCTTAAGCATAACCCAAAATGCACAAGCAGTGGAAGAGAAACTAGATGACTGGGACCTTTTAAAAATTAAATTCTTATGTGCATTGAAAAACTTCTCCAAAAGAGTAAAAAAGGAACCTACAGATTGGGAAAACATATTTGGCTATGACATGTCTGACAAGGGACTTATCTCTAAAATCTATAGAAAACTTCAACACCTCAACATCAAGAAGACAAACAGTCCACTTCGAAAATGGTCAAAGGACGTGAACAGACACTTCACTAAAGAAGATATACAGGAGCAACTCTGGAAGTCACATGCTGAAAATGGTCAAGCTGCTGTCTGATTGGGTCCTTGAGTCACCATATGGAGGAGAACCACCACAAACATGAATACCTGCTTGGACTACAGGGGAGCACAAAGGAACCTTCTGTTGCATTTCAGCTATGATAAGTTTGGATATGTTTGGCAAAGCAGTTTGGCCTACAACAATTGAACAATGTAATCAGTAATATTTAACTTCCTGGGCTCTTCTTCGGCTGTAAACCAGTTGCCTTCAGGTCACCTGCAGCTCACAGCAACGCCATGTGTGTCAGAGTAGAACTGTGCTCCATAGTGTTTTCAATGACTGATTTTTCAGAAGTAGATCACTAAACCTTTCTTCTGAGGTACTGCAGGGACTCGAACCTCCAACCTCGTTGGTTCGCAGGTGAGCACATTAACTGTTTGCACCACTGAGGAACTCCAGTTATACATTCAGGTAAAAAGAAGAAGCAGGGGATGACCTAGTCCTGGACTATAGAAAGAGAAGCTTATGGCTGATCCAATCCTGGAGTCCAGCACAGAAGTGAGCTACTGTCCTCAGGGCCCAGAACACAGGACAACTTAGAGGGTAGCAGAGAGGAACATGGAGACAGTGGCCATGGAAACTGGAAGGTGCCTTAGGGTGTCCGATACTGCTGTAGCAAAAGAGACTTGGGATGGGGGAGGGAGACTGTGGAATAGCCTCATATGAATCCAACCAACTTCCAGTCCTTCCACAAATACTTAATTGTATCTTCTCTGTGCCAGCCACTGTTCTAGGCACTTGTGTCACAGCAATAAATGAAATGAATAAAAATCCCTGTCCTCAGAGAGACAACATTCCAGTGGAGGGAATTAGGCAATAAAGAAAGTAGCAAAATAAATTATATAGTACATTAGAAGGGGCTACATGCTAGGAAAAAAAACAGAAGCAAAGAATGGGGTAGAAAAGACGGTACGAGTGGACAGTACAATTTTAAATAAAGTGGCCAGGAAGGCTTCATGAAGAATGGGAGAACTTAGGAGCAAAGACTTAAAAGAAGTGAGAGAGAGAGAAAAAACAAGTAGAGATACTGAGTAAAACAGTTCTTGACAGAGGAAGCAGCAAGTATAGCTGTGGCTTATCTTTTGACTTTGCTTATAGTGGGAATTTTTTTTTAGCAGAAATTTTTCTTTTATTTTAGTCAAATTTATCCACATCTGTGATATATATATATTTTTTTTTTTGGTCTTATTTATTTGGAAATAGATATTGGTGATGATTATACAACATAAACCGAAGAAACCAAACTCACTGTCATCGAGTCGATTTGACTCATAGCGACCCTTCCTTGGGTTTCCAAGGCGGTATCACTACAGAAGTAGATTGCCCAAACCTCCTTCCGAGAAAGAGACGGCCCGGCTACCTGGCGGGGAGCGGCTGGTGGGTTTGAACCCAAGTCACAGCCTTGGGTGCGGCAGGTGACTGCCTGAGGCCTGAGTCCAGGTTACAACTCAAGATCAAGATCATGATCAAAAAATATATAGGCAAAGTCTCCCTTCTTCAGTGCAGGACAGCTTTCTCAGCTCCTCTCAGTCCCTTCAGGAGAGGCTTCTCTCAGCCCCCTTAGCACAGACCTCCTCTTCAACCCTCAGCCTGGTCTCTGCCACGTTTTAGCAAGTGTTACAAATTTCTTTACTTCTTCCAGGAACTGCCTGGAGGCACCCCACTCTACCAGTAAGCCTCAGGTCCAAAGGCACTCAGCTTTCTTGCTCTGCTCTGTGTGTCAGGGAGCCTAGCTCTGTCAAGGGCCTAGAGGCACCCTTCTCCACCAGCAAGCCTCCTGCCTGAAGGGACTCAGCAATCTTGCTCTGTAGGTTGTCATGCCCACTGTAGCTGCCTCACTTCATGGGCACGGAAGCCCACTGAAGCCATCTCACAGCAGTCTCCTGGTTCTGCTGTGCTGTCTGCGGTATTAAGCTCTCTATGTCTCCTGAGTCTAGGAGGTTCTCAGTGCAGAGACCCCTGGTCCAAAGGATGCACTCCATTCCTGGCTCTACTTCTTGATGGTAGTGAGGTCCCTTTCTCCACTTCAGGGATTGGCTCCCTTTAAGACAAGTGTAGTGGTTAAACTGACCAATCCCCTCATTAGGATTTCCTACACCTTATTTGCAAAAATAGATGTTAGAAGAGACTTTGAAACTTGCTATTGAACATACGGTAGCTAAAGCAAATAGAAGAAATGATGAAGTAAAAGAGCTGAACAGAAGATGTCAAAGGGTGGCTCCAGAAGACAAAGTGAAATATTATAATTAAATGTGAAAAGACCTGGAATTAGAAAACCAAAAGGGAAGAACACACTCAACATTTCTCAAGCTGAAAGAACTGAAGAAAAAAATTCAAGCCTCAAGTTGCAATATTGAAGGATTCTATGGGCAAAATATTGAACAACACAGGTAGTATCAAATGAAGATAGAAGTACTATACAGAGTCATTGTACTAAAAAGAACTGGTTGACATTCAACCAGTTTAGGAGATAGTATTTGATCAAGAACTGATGGTATTGAAGGAAGAAGTCCAAGCTACACTAAAGGAACTGGCAAAATCAAGGCTCCAGGAATTGACAGAATACTCATCAAGATGTTTCAACAAATGGATGCAACACTGGAAGCTTTCACTCATTTATGCTAAGAAATTTGTAAGACAGGTACCTAGCCAACTGACTGGCAGAGAACCACATTTGTACCCATTCCAAAGAAAGGTGATCCAACAGAATGCAGAAATTATCAAGCAATATCATTAATAACACATGCAAGTAAAATTTTGCTGAATATAATTCAAAAAAGGGTTGCAGCAATATGTAGACAGGGAACTGCCAGAAAATCAAGCTGGATTCAGAAGAGAGTGTGGAATGAAGGATATGACTGCTGATGTCAAATGAATCTTGGCTGAAAGCAAAGAATATGAGGAACATTTTTATCTGTGTTTTATTGACTATGGAAATGCATTTGACTGTGTGGATCATAACAAATATGGACAACATTGTGAAGAATGGGAATTCCAGAACACTTCATTGTGCTCAAAAGGAACCTGTACAGAGACCAAGAGGCGGTTGTTTGAACAGAACAAGGGGATACTGCAGGGTTTAAAATCAGGAAAGTCAGAGTTGTATCCTTTCACATACTTATTCATTCTCTACACTGAGCAAATAATCTGAAAAGCTGGACTGTATGAAGAAGAATGTGACATCAGGATTGTAGGAAGACTCATGAACAACCTGTGATATGAGATTATGCAACCTTGCTTACTGAAAAGTGAAGAGGCCTTGAAGAACTTACCAATGAAGATCAAAGACTGTGTTGATAGTTTAGTAAGGATTACACCTCAACATAAAGAAAACAAAAATCCTCACAACTGGACCAATAAGCAATATCATAATAAATGGAGAAAAGAATGAAGTTGTCAAGAATTTCATTTTACTTATATCCACAAACATTGCCCATAAAAGCAGCAATCAATGAAATGACATATTGAACTAGGCTAACCTGCTGCAAAAGATCTCTTTCAAGTGTTAAAGAGCTGAGGGTTGAAGACTAAGGTGCACCTGACCTAAGCCATGGTGTTTTCAATCACCTCAGGAGCTCTGGTAGTGTAGTGCCTAAGGCACTTGACTGCTAACCAGAAGGTTGGCGGTTCAAACCCACCAGCCACTTCTCGGAAGGAAGATTGGGCAATCTACTTCCGTAGTGATACTGCCTCGAAAACCCAAGGAGGGGTCGTTATGAATCAGGTCCGACTCGACGGCACATAACAACAACACCAACATATGCATGGGAAAGTTGGACAAATGAATAGGGAACACCAAAGAATTGATGGTGAATTATGGTGTTTGCAAAGAATATTAAATGTACCATGGACTGCCACAGGAACAAACAAATCTGTCTTGGATGAAGTACAGCCAGAATGTTTCTTAGAAGTGAGGATGGCAACACTTTGCCTCTTGTACTTTGGTCATGTTGTCAGGAAGAACCAGTCCTTGGAGAAGGATATCATGCTTTGTATAGTAGAAACCAAACCAAAACTAAACTCACTGCCATCAAGTCAGATCCAACTCATAGTAACCCCTCCTTGGGTTTCCGAGGTGATATCTCCTTGGGTTTCTGAGGCAGTATCTCTACGGAAGTAGATTGCCCAACCTTCCTTCCGAGGAGTGGCTGATGGGTTTGAACCACCAGGCTTCTGGTTAGCAGTCAAATGCCTTAGGCACTATGC